TATTAAAGAGCATTGACTCACACTGCACTCTATTAAGGAACTTTTGAAAGCATCAGTAATGGTGCATTTCCTAGAAATTGAAAATGATAGGAGTCGCCATCAGCAGAACAAATTCTGTAGCCCAGTGGGGAAAAGGAGAGGTTTCAACTTCTAAGTTACAGGTATTTACCTTCTTTTGCAAATAAGCTGTTACTTAAATTATGACTAGTAGAAAAAGCTCTTAAAGAAAAACATGAATAGACACCTTTTCCATTATACTACACCTTGGGTGAAATTTACCACATTTGTGGAAGCAGGAAGAGCTCCATTATAGGCTATCTGAAGATACTGACGTGTAAGATTGAGCATTAGGTTGGTCTCAGGTAGGAGTGGGTTACAGTCAAACGTTTTTAGTTTTTAAAACTAGTTATCAGTGTGTCAGATGTAGTCCGGCTGTTTTTATAAAGTTTCTAATCTGTTTTGTTTTATATTTTGAGTTAAGATGTTAGGCTGAAGAACAAACACTGTGTACTCCATGAGCCTATGTTTCAAGGATCCTGTAAAAAAAAAAAAGTCCAAAACAAAGACCTTCATATATCAGTTGAGAGGGAAAGAGAGCATATAAAAGGGTTAAAAAGAGGTTTGCATTTCTACCACATGCCCTATTGTGTGAACATATGCATGAGTCTATTGAAAGTTTTCAGAAGATGGGCAGGCCACCAGTTGCTGGTCTCCTGCAGTTCCAGTAGACATCTGTTGCCCCAGAGCATTAACCAATCTGTTCAATGGGACATCCCTCCTTTGTTGGATAGAATGATGCAGACAACAGCACTCGCTCAAATACAATGGTAATTAAATACATAGAAACTACAGCAGTAGGTATTTATTACATATTCATTATTTTATTTGCATTGTTGCAGTATCTTTATCATTTGGATAACGGATACATTCTTTTTTCTTTTCTGATCAGATCTGCACTCCTGTTTGTGACGAGCAGTGAGTGTTTCAACAAAATTATTTCAATATTTTGCATTTTGTGTTTAGGAGACTTAGAAAAGGTCTACCTCTGTGAAAACATGTTGAACTCTTTCCTTGTAGACTGTATCTTCCAAAACTTGTTGATGGTCTTTTGAAAATACACATTTTCTGTTATATTGTGCCACGTGACACTACTTTCTTATTTTCCTCTGTGAACTAAATTTGCATTAAATTATTTATTTTATGCTCAACTGTAAGTGGAAAATATTCTGAATACACAGTAAAATATTAGGTGATTAGCCCACATCCCTTTGAGAAATATTTCTGTTTTGTGTGGAGGTGAATTGAGGGGCTGATTGTTGTTAATGGTTAGCTGAAAATAATGGCAACTTCTAAGAAATGGTAAAAGATTATACTTCTGTAATGAAGTGCTCATTGTATTTATACCTGATAAATATATGTACAGTACTTTAAACCTTTAACAGTGAACACAGTGTGGGGTACTGTAGTTTCAAATAGGGTACAGTATAAAACTTTTGTTATCATAGGTATGTCCAAATTGGGAGTTACCCATTTTATTAACCTTTTCATAAATACAAGTCTTTTACTGAGCTGTGGTGAGCATAACCAAAAGGTGAAGATTTTCATGAATGAATTTTTTTTTCATGATTTTTGTTTATCTTTCATTTGACTCAGAATTCATAGTAGATGCTTTTCTTAGCTATATTGCATTGTATCAGTCAGCATACTTTAAAACCATATGTGTGTAATAAAAGGTCCTTGTGAATAAAGGAATTCTTAGCTGCTGTTGCTCCTTAGATAAATCTGACCTTTTCTGGTTTTCATGAGCTTCATTGTCCTGTATATAGGTACACTAGTGTTTATTTGGAATACAAATTCATTCAAATTGACTGCCTGGCATGTTGCTCTTCACTAAACAAACCCAGACAAAATAATCAGCAGCATTCAACAGTGACATCTGATTTTCATGGTTCTAGTCAATGAGTCTCATAAAGGACATCATGATTGGAGCTCCAAAGTGTAATGTTTCTAAGACATGGTACTGACCACAAATAAGACATGCAAAGTTTCCAGGCATTGTAAAAATTTGTCTGAAAATAAATGCATCTTGCATGCAGGGTTTAGGCCAAATGCCAGGAATAGTGTACTGCTTATGCAAAACTATTTCAGAAATATTTAGCTTTGGGTTTACAGTACAAGTACAATTTTAACTACCCTTTTAAAGCAATAATATAATTACTATATATTATCTGTGGGATATGTTAAAGCAGCTGCTTTTATTATTCTGTTCTTTAAATAGTTTCTGAAAAACAGTGGAGTTCTTTGCAAAACAAGCAATTATATATTGAAGCATGATGGAGATTGACAGGAAAATTAAAGCAGATAGATGTGAGGTTGATTATGTATATATTCCTAACAATGGACCAAGCTCAGGCTACAGTCATTTTTCATATGCAGTTGATGTGCAAATCATCTAAAGTACGTTTCATATGATGCCTGATCTACAGACACATTCATATGCTAGTGACTTCTTTGAATCACACTGGAGGGTGTTATGATTGTAGTTGCTGTAAAGCACTTAAACTTCAAGAAAGAAGTGATTGAAGAATGACTTAAGTATTATTTTAACTAACACGAAAAAAAAATCCTCTTTCTAATCTATGCACTTCAGGCTTTTGGTATTTGATGCTGTTAATATGCAAACTCTTCTTCCCCCCCTTCTAAAAAAACCCTCCCTTCACTTGTAGTTCAATACTAAAATGACATTTCACAGTACACGGATTTAGGCAGTGACCCATTATCTCCCTGTATTCTGCAGCAGCAGTACATGAGCCAGCTCAACTTTTCAGTCCAGCTTAAAAGTATTGCCCATTAACTAGACTTCCTCGAGTCAGAGCAGATTGTGGGGTTGGTGGAACAATGATGTCGGGGCTTCCAGATTGGTTTGGCAGCTGCATTGTTCTCCGAGGGGAAACCAGACGCACTTAAGTCCCGCTCTCTTTCATGGGCTTTTGTTCATACCAAATTATTCTTTGGCTGTGCTAGTATTCATGATGGTATGTTAAAGAAGCGCATCCTAGCAACTAGAGGCTGGTTGCTAGGCAGCCTGGCTTCCAATAGGGGCTGCTTGTTTGCGATTTGTTTTAATTTTTGTGTGTGTGTGTGTGTCAGTTCTGTGAAGGCCACGGTGTTGGTTTTTTAACTGTATCTTTTTATTGGAATATTGTGATTTGTTACTACCTCTGTGCTATCAAAGTGTATTATCTTAGTTAATAAATCACCGTGTGAAATGGTTCATTTCCTAAGTTCTTGTTGTGTTTAATCTCTGGATTGCTTGAAATTCTAAAGATTTGCCTTCAGAGAAGGCAATATTCATTAATTCATTAATGCATGAGAATTAGAGCTCTACTGCCGTGTAGTAAGATAAGATCAAAATTAAACTTTGTTTTCTTCCTTATCAGTCTTGCTGGGATTAAAGTGTTGGAGATGAAAGCACTGATGATAGATAAGATTTATTTATGTTAACTAGAACTGTTTGGGTAAAGTAAGATTTTTGTGCCCCATAACCAGAACACTCTGCCACAATGGTGATGTCTTGGCACTCCCTGCCTATAGAATCTACTTTTACTGAGCCATGGATTGGATTGTTTGTTTGATTCTCTCTAATCTTAAACCTGGATTAATTTCTCTGGTTCATACTCTCAAATCTTTATTCACAAGTACACTATATTTTAAAAATACTGCGTCAATCTTAAATGCTCACCTGTAAGGATATGGGAGAGTTAATGTATTTGGTGACAGAAATTTTAAGTTCAAGTGAAGTCCTTTGTCTCTATATCTTGCTTTATATTCTGCCTTACAAGATGGAAGTGTGAAAGAACTCTTTGTTTCATAGTCTTTCCTTAATTTAAATTCTTCTTTTTCATGGTAACCTTGCAGTACAATTGGTCCATATGGTCCATTTTTATTTATGAGAAATAATTTATGTTTTATTTTCTTTATTGAAGCATTTAGCAAAGATTGCTGTTTCAAAGAACAAAGTAAGGGAAGGAGGTAGCAATCTGCCTTTAAGTGTAGGTTGTTGAAGTAATGTTTGTGATGAAATGGGTAACTAACTTCTGTATATAACTAACTTCTGTAACTAACGACTATGCAAAATTCCTCAAGAAGATCTGATATGGCGAGTATATGGTCCTGGAAATGGCAACTTTTTTCTTACATTCTTCCTAATTGGCTCATATCTATACGCGTATAGTTTTGATTTATCTAAAGGCTTGCACAAATCTAGTGCAGGAGCTGAAAGCAGCTTTTAATTTTGTTGGCTTGATGAATGGTCTGTTGGAGTTGGTGCAAGAACTTCCATTTCCTTTATTGGCCATTAGATCAATCCATGTCCCTAAATGCTGTATATGTTAGTAATACAACACTCTGTTGAGAACAATTAGTCTTTCTAGACTTAATTATCACTTTATAAGGGAATTCAGAAATAGTTTCAGTGTATTCCATTGAGCTGTCTTTCAGGACCAATAAGTTTTTATTTAATCATGTTTTCTGTTACTAATAAGAGCACTATGCTAATTTCTTTCTGTTCAACATACTGTAAGGCATTTCATTTGAAAACCTTTTCCAGTGTATTTTATAGTCACTTTTTTTTATTGTTGCAGCACAGTCTTATGCTAGAAGAAATATCTCATTGTTTTTAAATAATTACTTTAGTCCTGTCTCTACATTACAGTAGGTAAACTTGGAGTCTTTGGTTTCATATTTTTTCATAAATCCATTTCTAGAAATGTGTAAGTAAAAACATGTGATACATTCAGAAGACAGGTAGTTATTTATCCACTTAGCTATAGATATTCCTCAGGAGGAGTCTTTTCCACAAAAAGCCTTCCATGTTTAAAAAGAGAAATAAATTCTATTTCTCGGCTGCAAGAGAATAAATGCAGTTCTGAGGAAGCAGCAAGAAAATAGAAAACAAGTAATGCGTGTAACCAGTTGCAACATTTTTGTTTTCTCTTTAGGAATACGGAACACTTTATATTCAGGAATACAAGAAAAACAGCAAAGTGGAGTCAAGTGCATGCAGCAGCTTCATGGGCTTGAAGGATCATCTGGGGCATGACTTAGGCCACCTTTATGTGGGGAGCACTGGCACAGAGATAAATGCAATTGTACCTTGGTCGATGGCGGAGAAGCCAACAATGGATAAGGTTAATTCTAGGAAAGAAGACAGAGAAAAGGAGACATCTGAAGAGACTTCTGGAAGCTCCAGCTGTGACTCTGAAGAAAGCACAAATTCTGATAATGAGTCAGAGAGACTGAATAATTCTGCATCGGAGTCACATTTATTGCCTAAGACTCATCGACAGCTGTGCCGATCTCTTTGCTTAGAGCCTCATATACTAAAAAGAAATGAAATCTTGCAAGACTTTAGGATAGAAGAGGCTCAGATAGTACCTAAGGAAGTCAAAAAGCCTCCTGATGTGGTGAAAGAATATCAAACCAAACTGGAGTTTGCACTTAAGTTGGGTTACTCTGAAGAGCAGGTTCAACTTGTACTAAATAAACTTGGTACTGATGCTTTAATAAATGATATTTTGGGAGAACTTGTCAAACTTGGGAATAAAACTGAGACTGATCAGACTGTAACTAATGCTAACACTAGTGTAATGCGTGAAGCGTCTTCCATAGAGTCTCAGAGGTCAGAGTCTCCACTGCAGGAGGATGTGACAGAGGATGGAGACAACCTGAGGCCAATAGTTATTGATGGCAGCAATGTTGCAATGAGGTATGTGACTATGAAGGTTTTGCTTTTCTATTTAAATGGAAACAGAAGGTTCTTGCCCACAGTTCAAGCACTGATGTTTGGTGTGACTGCCTTAAACTGTATGCAGGGTCTCTTTCAAGTATCTTTGTCAACCACACAGTGTGCTGATACTGGAATCAGGCTACAGGTCTATACGACTTCAGTGGTGTGCTACTCACTGTTAGAACAACCAGAAGTTAGTGCCATTGTCCCTTTATAGACAGATATTAAATCTCTCCTCACTACCACTCCAGTCCTTAAGTTTTGGTAGCCACCATTGCTACAGGCAATTGCTGGATGGAGTTATGTACAGAAAGTTACAGCAAATGTAAGATTCCTTAAGATTATAAAAGAGTGATGTAGAATTAAGCAGCTTAAGGGATACTTCTTAGTTGAGTAATCTGTGAGAACTGATCCGCCCATAGCATTGGTCTTGGTTTATCAGTCTTGGAGTTAGGTTTTATTGACATTAATTGTTGAGATTAGTGTGTGAAAGACGACTTTCACTTACATACCCATGGATAGCACATTTACCTACAGTGTTCACTGATCCTGACCCAGACATCTGGGTGCAGAACAAGAAACTTGCCTGTGAAGGCGAGAGGGTCATGCTTCATCAGTGATTAAATAGAGAAGGAAATGGCAGAGAGACGTGCTGAGAGATTAGGTTTCTATGGCAATATAAATTACTAAATTATAAATCAATTGGTAATTGTTTCAGTAAGTCATAAGGATTATCTGATTACTAACAGCAAAGTTTAGGAGGTGAGTTTTAGTTTTCTGATTATTTGATGTGGTTTTCATTACCTTAGGAATAAAAGTTAATGCAAGACTTTCCTTGGCTAAAAAAACCCCCGGCATTTCCATGGGACTTTTTTTTTTAGCTTCTAATCAAGTCAATTATCTTTAAATGAAGCTTTTTAAAATGAAACTTAAATATACCACTTATTTATGCCAATATGATGGGTTTTGTTTTTTTAAGTAGAGGAGTTAGCACATAAGGCAAAGTACTTTTTTAATATGGTATATTCCTGTGAGTTTTTTCTGCTGGATGTGTCATTCCTTATCTTTTGGTTCAGCTTGAGCTGTAGAGGAGGCACGTCCAGTTGAACAAACATGATTGTGGCACTCAACCAAGAAGTTGTCCAGTGACTTCTAAAATGGTTTTTAGAAGTTTTGTTTTTTATTGTACTTCGCATAAATCCAAAATGGTTGTGTGTTAGCTAGTTAGCATGGCTCAGACTTGGTGCGTGGACTTAGGTTCAACTTCTCCTAAAATTGTACTGAACACATTCCAGAATTACTCCAGATCTGTAATTTTTCCTTAATGTTTATTCAGCTATTAACATACATATTTAGGATCTGCCTTCCTATGTTAAATTTACTTTCTTGACCACCTGCATCAAATGAACCAACTATGATACATGCTGCAGGACCTTAATAAATAGATTAAATATATTCACAAAATGGATGTTCTGTATCCAAGAATCAAATTAACAGGTCTTTACTTGTTTTCCACCAAATGTATTCACAGAATCATTCCATTTGGAAGGGGCCTTTGGAGATCCATACACAGAACTGTGTCATTTCAAGGCCATGCCCAATTGTTTTTTAAATGTCTCTGAGGATTTGGAGACTCAATGTATTCTCTGGGCCAGTGTAAGAAAGTTTTCCTTATTTTATGTTAAAGCAACATTTCTTATATTGTATTTTGTGCCCATTGACTCTTCTTCTATCACTGAACACCAGTGAGAAATCAGTTTCTGTTCCCTTTATTTTTTCCCATCAGGTATTTAGACACATGAGTAAGATCTTTCCAAGCCTTCTCCTCTCTAGGCTACAGTCCTAGATCTCTCAGCTCCTCTTCCTCATCTGAAACGTGCTCCAGTCCCTTGATTAATTTTGTTGTGCCTCACTGGCCTTTCTCCAGTGTTGTCTATGTCTTCTCGTATAGGGGAGCCCAGAACTGAGCCCAGCACTCCGTATGCATGAGTAGAGAAGGATCCCCTCCCTCAACCTGCTGGCAGTACTTTTTCTAATGCAGCCTAGGAGGCTATTGGCCTTCTGTGCTGCAAATGCACATTGGTACCTCATTATCAGCTTGGTGTTCCCAGAGCCCCAATGTCCTTCACTTCAGAGTTGCTTTCCAGGTGATCAGCTCCCAGCCTGTAGTGATGATTAGTGTTAGACTTACGCAGCTGGAGGATTGGCATTTCCCTCTGTTGGACTTGCTGAGGTACATGTTGGCCTGTTGCTCTACCCTGATCAGGGTCCCTCTGAATGAGAGTACACCCATCTGGTGTTCTCCTCCCAGCTCAGCATCCTCTGTAAATGTGCTGAGCATGGACTCTGTTCTATTATCTAAGTCATTATGAAGATGTTAAGAAATGCATTCCCCTGTGTCAGCCCCTGGAGTACACAGATACTGATTGACCTTCAACTGGACTTTATGCTACTAATCACCTTTGAGTGCAGCGGTTCAGTCAGATTTCAGTCCATCTCTGCTCTAGCTCTGCCCTTACTTCCCTATTTTGTCAGTGAGGCTGTGATAAGAGAAGGCTGCTACAAGAACAAAGCTGTCAGAAGCTTTGTTAAAGCCACAATAAACAGTGTGTCCACTCTGCTCTCCTCATCCACTGAACAAGTCACCTCACCATAAAAGGCTGTAAGGCTGCTCAAGCATATTTCTTCATAAATCTATGCTGACTGTCCCCAGTCATCTTCATCCAGTCTACATACAGAAATGGTTTACAGGATGATTTGCTCCATCACCTTTGCAGGGTTCAGGGCGAGGCTGACCAGCTTTATAGGTCCCTAAATTACCATTCTTTCCCCCCTTTTAAAATGGAAGGGATATTTTCCCTTTTCTAGACATTAGGAATATCCCCAGTTACCACAACCTTTCAAAATTGCCAAGAGAGGCCATACAGTGTCATTAGCCAGCTCCCTTAACACCCATCTGGGCTCAGCAGCCTGGCAATATCCTGGCAATATTTCAGTGTTTCCAAAAGTCATCTGAGGGAAAGTCTTATCCTGTTACTTTTGCCCAACTTCCTGCATGTTGCTGTGGGCCAATCTTGAGCTTGGCATGGGTGATCCTTGAAAAATCCACTATCTCTCCTGTTCACTCTTCTCTGCATAGGATTCTCCTCAGAGCCAAAATCTGCTCTCCAGTAATTCTGATCTCGTAATTCTGCTTTTTGCCTTGCTCTTTCTTCATAGGATCTGCCTCTCATGGTCACTGCAGTGAAGGCAGCCCCTGACCTTCCCATCTCAGTCTCCTTCTCCCTTGTTTCTGAGTCCCAGCTGGTGCACTTGTTAGCTACTCAGTCACACATGTTAAGAAGTTACTGCAAAAGCACTCCAGAAACTTCATGGATTACTGATGCCATGTTGTGTTGGTCAGAACAAAAGCATCTTTGCCAAATGGCTGGTTGGTCCAGTCCATCCTGCCTTTTTCTAGAAATCAGTCCTTGATTAGGAAAGCCAGTCGCATGTATGTAAAAGATGAGTCTCAGCTGCTGATGCCTGTTGTGCAAACAGGATCTGTTATCTCCCCTTAGAGAAAATAGGCACTAGTAACTAAGCATATTAAATACTGGAAAGATTTCAGCTTTTACATGCAGGAGAGACTTGGAGTCTCTTGGACTTTTGGAGACTAGGAGTTCACTTGCAGTTCAATCTTCTTCAGATTTCTGTATGTAAATATCCAGGGTCCTGTTATGGGTAGCTATAAATTGTCACAGTTTTGTCTTTCCTCTTTGCTCTTCCAAGTTGTGGCCAATGAGTTCACTCTGAAATTGCTAAAGGGAAATGGGCCTGTGCCCTAAACAAGAGTGTAGATAGTCTTTTGAGAGGTGTTCTTGGAAGCTTTCTCACACATTATCACAGGAATGGTTAAAAACTATAATCTGTATTCTTATTCCCATGTTGTTGTAATGCACATACTTGATGATAACATTTAGTATTAGAATTATTCTAGATAAGAGTTACTAATTTTCATTTAAAGGATGTATTTGACAGGGTGGGAAAATTTTATGGAGAATGTTGAGATGACTGATATCCAGTAATTCAAGTAGGATGAGATGGCTGTCCCCTTCTGGAAGGATCAAACACTGTGCTACCCTGTGTCTCCATTCCATGGCTAATTAAGGATGTAGTTTCATAAAACATCCAGTGAGTGACACAGAGTGATTTACTTTTAGGCTTACCTCTATCCCACTGCCAGGGATGCTTTCCTATCTGCATCTCATCTAGTGACTGGGTGGCTGTAAAATGAGTTGATTCACCTTCCTAATTCAGAGAGCAGGGGTAATCAGAAAGTATTCTTTTTCCATTAGATATGTTAACATAACCTGATATTTTTGTCATTGGGAGAACAACTTGGTCTGACACAAAGGAGGAAGGATATATCTGGTTATGTGACTGGATATTCATATTTGTGGAACTGGTAGTATCTAGTGAACTGATGGATTAATGAATTTCTTTAGAGCAGCACAGAAAAAGGCTTGGGTCGGAACAACTTACTCTGGCAAACCAGAGCCTGCGTGTATGCCAGTTGTCTGGTGACTACTCCTGTTACAGACAAGCTGTTTTAGCAAGCTGTAGATTCAGGAAAACCCAGCAGTCATTTTTTCTGCTTTTTGGTAACATTTGGAAAACTTCCCTTAAACTTTCATGTGACACTGCTTGTCATTTGTGCATTAAACTGTAAATGAGTCATCAAATGCATCTTGTGTATATCAAGTTTAAACCTACAATATGGTCTAAATAATGTGAATTGGCTGAAGTTTTAAAAACATAGAAAGCATCCTCTTTCAAACTGAATAAAGCTATGACTTGAAGAATTGCTGTTTAGCTTCCTATAGGATACTTCAAGTCTGGTCTTGTTTTGTTATTCTACCTGTCTTAGAGTTGAGTTAATCTTTATTCAGAAGAGGAAAGATGCCCACAGTTTAAGCCTTAAACATCAAGGTTTTTTG